TCCCCAGTGGGATCGTTGTTATGCGTATCGAAGGAACTGTGACGTCATCACTTAACAGCCCCTTCAATACATGGCATATCTACCTGTGCAGTTTTGCGCATGCACTTGACTGGTGCCACGCAAGTACGCACTCTCACCTTAGCAAATTTTGACAGGTCCTGTCACGTGACTGAACTGCCTACTAGTAGTACACAGTCAGTGATAAGGATGCGCCCGGGCAGATCCAGTTATGATGTAGACAATCATAGAGTTCTGGCAGGACTTTATCATAGTTTATGGCTGAATCAAGGCCGAGTGCATACGGCCAAGGGCGCAGGCCAAGGCGCGTAGCGCCGAGGCCTGCGCCCGCGGCCGTGCGCACGAGGCCTTGATGAAGGCGGAAAGTCCTGCCAGAACTCTATGATCGTGTTTCAGGTTTCCACTTACTGACTTAGTGACTTACATCCTTTGAGCCGCGTAGACCATGGTAGACGGTATAAGTTAACTATAAGCGCGATACCACATACTGACATAGGGTGGATGTTGGGGACGTGGTGGCTAGACCTGTTGCCTTTTTTCTTTGCTCAATGCTCAAGAACAAGTAGGTTGGTCGTGGACGTGGTGGCTACACTATCACTCTTTGCTGACACGCGATGATCTTATCAGTTTTCGCTTACATCAGTACATGAAGGCCTCGTGCGTAGATCTACTGTGCTACGTGCCTTGGCCAGCGCCCGGGCCTTGGCTTGGGCCTGCCTGGCCGTACGCTCATCGGAGTCATGGTCATGTTTTCACTGGCATTCTTTGAAACTGTATATAAGCGCGACACCACCTAGGGGTGGAGGTCGGGGACGTGGTGGACGGATCTCTTGCCATTTTTTTAGAAGAAGTAGTTGCAGAATTGCCAAAGCTCATGCGTACGGCCGCGGGCGCAGGCCTCGGCGCTACGCGCCTTGGCCTGCGCCCTTGGCCTTGATTCATGGTCAGGTTTCACTTGCGAACTGTATATAAGCGCGATACCACCTAGGGGTGGAGGTCGGGGACGTGGTGGCAAGAACTCTTGCCATTTTTCCCTTGGCCTTGAAGAAGAAGAATGTTTTGAATTGTTTTCAGGTTGTAGCTGTTTAGTTTTGTCACTCCTTTACTGACACGCGTACAAACCTGTTGTCAACATCGCCATTAGCTTGTAGAATACTGCCCATTTTTTCCAATTATTTACTCCTCAGGTTAAGTCGTCCTTTGATGCTCGTACTCGTAGACTGTATATAAGCGCGATACCACCTAGGGGTGGAGGTCGGGGACGTGGTGGCAAGAACTCTTGCCATTTTTCCCTTGGCCTTGAAGAAGAAGAATGTTTTGAATTGTTTTCAGGTTGTAGCTGTTTAGTTTTGTCACTCCTTTACTGACACGCGTACAAACCTGTTGTCAACATCGCCATTAGCTTGTAGAATACTGGATTGCTTACTACATGTAGCCACCGTTGCTACCTTACATCATAGTACTTGTATGTTTATTACATCAATGAACAGAACTGGGCATGAGGTCATGTCTACAGGCATGCCCAATCTACATGATTGTAGACCTGGTTTCAACCATGTACTTACTCTACTCTCCTCCAAAGCCAAGGACGGCAAGGTCCTGACTGTAGGGAGTTCACATGATTTTTTCATGTTGGCAGCTGGCCATTTCTAAGCGGATTTTTGAAACGTATGGGGTAAAACCAAGTAGCAGCCGAAATTTGGAGTGGATACCTTGAAAAACAACAGAGTTATGGTGATTTGAAGTCGCGGCAAATTCATCATGAAAGTGCATACATCGCATGGCACCAAAGGCATCTTCGGACCAGCCCTAGCTACACATAGCAACCGATGAACTTCTCCAGATTGTCTTGAAACTCCACCCAAGGAGTAAACACAGTCTGTAGGATACCAAATGAAAATTAATTTTCAAATTCAGTTACAGACTTTCAAATTCTGTCCATAGCAACCACCATGGCAACCGCTCTGACCGCATACATCGGATATGGATATTAGGAAAACCAGGAATATATCATTGCAGGAAAGGTAATTCTGAACACCAAGCATATTGTTAATGAAGAAGCAGTGGATTAGAGAAGATGAAACAACAAAACGTGAGTGGCATTGAAGAGTTTTATGTTTTACAGCAGTGTTAGATATTTGCGACACCGTGTCTGGTGACGGCGGCCAAGATATAGACGACCATGTACTTAGTAACTCCTGGAAATGCAATAAGTCAGGTTTTTATGGTGCAACACTTGGTACGCGCTTTGGAGCTGGCTCCAAATCCCCAGAGTCCTGGTCAGGATCAGTAGTGCCGGGTGCCAGTACAGACCTTGCCGGCCCAGTTGCGGCGGCGGGATGTGGTGGCCGAATTTGTGATACCAGATGCGAGAACTATGGCAGGTAGCAGGGACTTCAGGTTGTCCACCAGCTTCTCCACGGGGTGCTGCCGCCCATCCTTCGAGAGGGAGAATGTGGCAGCTGGTGCATCATGGTGCACAAAGTTTTACGGAACAGAAGCTGTGCCCTCAGCGCACTTCGTTTTTCAGCAACAGTGCGGAGGGCTGCCACACCAGCTGGAAGCTCAAATACCTGCTCAGACGGCAAATGCTACTGCTCTTTGTTTGCTTTCAGGAGGTAAGTACGTCTGTCTTCAGTCTGTTCACTTTGCCAGACACTGCCTTCGAATTTAAAGTTGAACATTCTCTCCCAGATATTCCTTCCAGCCATGTTGTGAAAGCCTTGAACGTCAGTTTCTCCGTTTCTTTTAATCGGAAAAGCTCCAACACAAGATCATTGGACAAGTTCTCAGCACTACGCTTCAGCGACGTAAATGCATCGTTGTTTTCCACTGAATTTAGCAGCGACGTCCGAGTCAAACCCAGCACTTTACACACCCAGCACTTTACACATATCTCCAACGACGTCCTTGCTGCTGTCACCTGTCTCCTTTTCTGTGTGACTTGCCATCGTTCAGGTAATTTTGCAGACTTTTGCTACTTCCTGAAGTTGCAGGACGACTCGATCTTACTAAATTCGAGGGTGCTCTACACGAATATGAGCGTTTCCTCGGCGAGCAACCAAAAGAAAATACTGAAAAACACGATCGAAAAGTTCCTCCAGAACTTTGGACGTCTGAAAACGGTTCAATGAAGGCAAGCGACACACCAAACAAAAGCTACTGTCTTCACGAACCAGGAAATGGCCGTCTTCTTGATCAAAAATTTGAGCTTGCAGCAAAATCATCAGTCTCACTACTTTTCACAGATATGTTTTCCATCATCGTGATTACCTTGCTGATTTCCATTTCAAGATTACGAATAGTGAGCGACGACCAAATAAAATCATTCTTCCCAAATTTAAATCATTGTCTAAGTCTCTCTTCATGTTCCGAACTGCTATTCTATGGAACTGTTTACCCCCCAGTCTAACATCGGAAGCCTCGCTCTATAAGTTCAAAGCTGCCCTCAGGAAATTTACAGCTGACTATGCTTATGCAATCAACGGAATTCCGCCACCTTGCAGTTGATTTTCCCCATTTCTCTCCTCATCAATCCCTACTTCTCTTTGTACATACATCTACATCTACTGTTCTTTCAATCAAATGAACCCCTCGATAGGCACATTGCCTTTGGGTCATTTCATAATAATAATAATAATAATAATAATAATAAAACATTCAAAAAAACGCGACGCTGCCCACCTGGCCACGTCATGCGTACATCCGCGTGTAGAGACCCAATGTATGTGCCCGGTCACGTGATTGAACTCCTACATCAATGAACAGAACTGGGCATGAGGTCATGTCTACAGGCATGCCCAATCTACATGATTGTAGACCTGGTTTCAACCATGTACTTACTCTACTCTCCTCCAAAGCCAAGGACGGCAAGGTCCTGAGATGAACTGAGATGGCAACGGAAAACTGACGCAGACCCCTGCACTGTAGAGCTAGGCTGACAGCGTGCGGGCCTTTATCGGCTCATCAAGGCCACCGCGGGAACGTCGCTCATTGGCTACAACCATGGAAACGGCACTGTAAAAACCTGAATTAATAATTATTTTTGCTGGAGAGACTTCGACTGGACATGTGGCTCGCAGACACAACAGTACAAAATAATTCGCCACATGCGCATAGTCATTCTTGCCATTTTTCCCTTGGCCTTGAAGAAGAAGAATGTTTTGAATTGTTTTCAGGTTGTAGCTGTTTAGTTTTGTCACTCCTTTACTGACACGCGTACAAACCTGTTGTCAACATCGCCATTAGCTTGTAGAATACTGGATTGCTTACTACATGTAGCCACCTTTGCTACCTTACATCATAGTACTTGTATGTTTATTACATCAATGAACAGAACTGGGCATGAGGTCATGTCTACAGGCATGCCCAATCTACATGATTGTAGACCTGGTTTCAACCATGTACTTACTCTACTCTCCTCCAAAGCCAAGGACGGCAAGGTCCTGAGATGAACTGAGATGGCAACGGAAAACTGACGCAGACCCCTGCACTGTAGAGCTAGGCTGACAGCGTGCGGGCCTTTATCGGCTCATCAAGGCCACCGCGGGAACGTCGCTCATTGGCTACAACCATGGAAACGGCACTGTAAAAACCTGAATTAATAATTATTTTTGCTGGAGAGACTTCGACTGGACATGTGGCTCGCAGACACAACAGTACAAAATAATTCGCCACATGCGCATAGTCATTCATGGATGACGGCCTCTCTGGCAGCTGCTTGTGTGTGTCCATTAATGGCATTATGACTCAGAGAGCGCTCTCCTAGCTGGGCATTTGCCAGATCAGTATTTCCTGAATAGCGCTCCCGGATCCCACGTACACTACGCCAAAAGTCTTCGTGCGCACACGCGCGCGCAGCCGATCGAGCAGCCATGCATCCCGCCGCAGACGTCTCCACTCTGTTGGTGTTGACGTCACGACTCTGTATTTGCTTACAAACGCCGCGTGCCGTTCCGCGCAATCGCATTCCTCCGTCCTCGTTGGGTTTGGCCGCAGTCTTCTCCGTAACGGCTCGGGCTTTAGGCTAGCCTTTAGTTTAGGTTGGAGCACTAAGTCTTGTCTTTATTGGTCTTTGCACGCAGGTGTTGGTCTTCTTGGGCGTCCCGAGCCACTCGCTTACCCTTCACTTCAGCCATGTCTCTCTCAGTCTACGCCCTGATCAGCGTTGCGCTGCTTGTCCTCGCCAGACCGAGCGGTAAGAACCGAGTGCATGCATAATTATGCTGAACGCCAACCTTTTCTCTGTGTTTGATTTCTGTTGTATCGCGTATCGCTTCGTGGCGAAACTATTATGATGGCTTGAGCTGGTTGAGTGGGGTGTCCACGTGCTTTCCAGCGCACAGTACAGGTGTACCGGGCTCCCCGCTTCCTCGCTCCTATTTTTCTTTCATTGCCTGGCCAGTATGTGTACCGTTCCGGTGGTACACCCCATGACCATGGTAGTCCAGGAAAAGAAGTATTTTCCTTCAGGCCGGCCATGCCGATTGTGTGGCACGAGGAGTAAAGTCAAAGGCCGCGATGTATAGTTTGATGTACACGTTGTGGGTCGACACAGCATGTGTACCATCGTGTAGGCTAGGCGAAATCGAAGGGGAATGATAACAGGTTTCCGATAACATCTTGAACAGTTGAAGTTCGGAATAGTAGAAGACCTTTCCTCTCTCATCTCTCTTTGGCTAGCCCCTGAACGTCCACCCGTAAGCTTTGGGAATTCGTCGCATTATTATTTCCACGATGGCCCATGGCCAATAAGGAAGATAATATGATTCAAATCAGTCCAGAATCATATAAAATCAGTCTAGCAAGTAAGGAAACCAACACATTGCAGGGGGGATGGGGTCACGATGGGGTACAGTGTGAGCTACTACAGGAGCATATGGATGATAGAATGAGGCTAGACGCCATTGATTTAAACGCATGCTTGCTATTTGTTTCACGCAGGTCGGGGGGGGGGGGGTAGTTGGTTGAAATTGTGAAGGGATAGGTTGCGCATGGTGGGACACACCACGTGTACCGGTATACATGTATTTATGTAGTCCGTATCCCATAGCATAATAATTGCCACTCAAGTGGTGGTGGTTCGGGGACGGTGGGGGTTGTTGTGATCTCGAACTCGTCAGTCACTGAACTGATTTTATTGTAAAGAAGACACGAACTTATACTTATAGAGTGTGAAGAAGAGTATAGCGAGATAGAGAGCGGTAGAAGGAGAGCCACTGGACAGCTGGATAGTGTATCAATAAGCGCACGAGGGGAAGGCTAGACAGTATGTCTCTAGACATCAATAGGTATTGTACGAAAGGCCAGTCAATAGTTCTAAAGAGTGAAGTCAACCACAACACGGAAAATAGCTTCAGACAATCATGACAGGCATGATACGGATGATATTACAGGGGTGAGCGCCGGTCAAGTCAACGATGGGTACATCGCGCACACGTACATGTATTACAGACCGCACAATAAGTTAGAGGTGGAACTCTCAGGAATTGTAGACGGCTTCGAAATTATTAGAATTTTCTTCCAGGACTCACTTCGGTCAATGTGATCCCATAATTATCACCAGTTTTGATAATTCACACATCGACCTGAGCACGCACGCTTGATTAAAACTTAAAAGCCCCACAAAGTTCACTTACATAGAAAACTCGGATGGAGAGCCAAGGCGTAACTTGCAATTCCTTGGTCCTTTCTCTTTTGTACACAGACAACGTGTGGGATTCCTGAAAGACAATTCAAAGTTGGCAAGGCCTGATTCGAAGTGCAATATGCACATATCTTGGCTAGTTCAGGCTGTGATGGCCAGATCAGAGTGTGCCGAATCCGTGTCTGTGGTGTATGGCACTACCCAGTCCCAGCGTGACAATGCGAGCTTGTTGAAATACATAGTCATTAGGTGTTGTCGGTAAATGTCCGAATCAATGGAAGCGTTGCTCCGGCAATTGGGATTTGGAACTGTCAGGATTACGCCTGAACATTCGCTCTTTCAATATTGAAAGTAACTTTGGTGATATATTTTACGTCAAACACTATCCTTCCGACCGTAATGGGTTGTGAAGGAAAGGAAGTAGTAGTAGGACACATAGTTCCTGTCACCGCTACTGAATCACCACATTGGTGACTGGACTTGTCAGCTTGATCATCCTCTCTCTCACGTTCTCTAACTCTCACTGTCTCTCTCTCTCAGTGTCGCTTTCTCTCTCTCTCTCTCTCTCTCTCTCTCTCTCTCTCTCTCTCTTCTCTCTCTCTCTCTCTCTCTCTCTCTCTCTCTCTCTCTCTCTCTCTCTCTCTCTCTCTCTCTCTCACACACACACACACACACACACACACACACACACACACACACACACACACAAACACACACACACACACTCTCTCTCTCTCTCTCACACACACACACTCTCTCTCTCTTTCTCACACACACACACACACACACACACACACACACAAACACACACACGTACACACACACAATGCCCACTTTTTTTAGTGAAATCCATGTCGGGCCGCAAAATTGCCTTTATAGAAGCTGCACTGCGTGTATATGTAGAACCCTAGCCATGCCAGCCTGCTGTTTTGGGTCTACTTGCTGTGTTTGACAAGGCCTGCACTGAGACTGCACTGCATTCACCACCGCCTTCTTCCCTCTGTGCACAATAGATGCGTACAACTGCGGCTCAGTGGATTGCCCACTGCCAGGCTATCCTGACTTGACCCAGTGTTGCTCAAGCAGCATCTACAACACCGCCTGCTGCAACATCATTCTTGCCGGATGGTGAGGACGATGTATATGTGGTGCTCAGCGATGCACATTAATTTTCGGCTTGTAACTTGGAGTACTACAGATAGGTTTTTTTGGTTGATGGCCAGTTATTGAATATCATCCTATTGACTATCGACAACAACCACACCTTGCAATAAGCACACTGGAGAAAGTAGTGCAAGAAAAGAGACAAGGGTTCTGGTTAGGATGTATCTGCTATTTCAGTGTATTTTTGAAGACCCCAAAGTTACAATGCTATTGTGATGCAAGTTACGGCAGAAGAAATTGTGTTTCAAGTCGCACACCAGTTGCGGTCTATTGTTCGTTGACCTCTCCTGATTACGTATTGAAAGCCAAGATAAACAATATGCGAATCACGCTACCGGGACACAAACCAGGGACGGTTTCTTGGCCAGGGAACGTCTCAACCATTGAGCCACTTTATTGGGGCTGTCATCCATGGAGGGATGCACACACTGGCCCATGAGTGAAGTCTAGCGTGCAATGTCCTACTCAATGCGCTGCCAGGCGCAACTGAAGGACTGGACCCTGGTGACCCGAAATATCTGTGCCAATTCTCTGTGCTGTTTCTCCTTCTCCTTCTGTGTTTGTTCTCTTACCAGGGCTATCGGTGTGATTGTGACCGGGTGCATTCTGTCGGTCGGCGGCATCTTCCTGTGCTGCCTGTGCTGCGCATGCTGCCCGCTCTTCCAATACCGTCGGGCGAGGTACTCCAACACAACCTATGTCACAACCACCGGCTACCAGTCGGTGCCCGGCACCACCGGACCAACAACAAGTATGTACACGTCCAGATTCTGTCCAGCATTCAACCGTATATATGTTACACCACTGGAATATACCACGGGAATGACTTGGGACACTTGCAGGAAGACATTGAAATTCCTTCAAAGGGGAAGTATACCCTAAAATCAAATTTTCACCAGTTGCAGTCTTCTGGGTACTGAGTCGAATGGTCTTGGTCCGAGGAAGCCGAGATGCTCCCTTCCTCCTTTATTCCCAATCGAACTCGTCACTTCCACCGAAACTGGGTGAATGCGCCCTGCTAGGGGGGGGGGGGGGGGTTGTATGCAAAATGTCACTAAAAGCGCCATTTCATTCTTATAAAGCACGGATGAACGTGATTGGCCCTTATGTTAAAGTCTTTTGGACGCTGAGTCGACTGGTTTTGGTCCGAAAAGGCTGCAAAGCAGCGTTCGGCCCTTATTGCCAATCAAACATGGTCGAGTAAGCGGTCACGTGCTCATGCGTACAGTTGTACACCAGTTACCTGGTCACCGTGCCCGCGGTCTACTACAACTTACAGCCTGTTTGGGCACATTCCTGTCACTCCCGTTGAACCTTTGAGTTGAACCTTGGTGTGAAATTTGCATTACTGACCATTAGATCATATTGCAGCAGTGCCGTGAGGCCTTGCCTGACAGTGGCTTGTGTGTTTTTTGTTTTGTTTTCTCGCTCTCTTCTCTTCTCTCTTCCCTGTATCTCTCTCTCTCTCTCTCTCTCTCTCTCTCTCTATCTATCTATCTATCTATCTCTCCGTTCTTGCACCCACAGCTAAAGTGTACAGTTAGAGTGTCGCCGTCGACCTTCCAGCAGCTTCACTTCCAGCAGCCTGCTACTACTCTCTGTCTGTATTCTGCTTCTTTCAAGCTTCTGCACCGCTGCTTGTGCTTGGCACTGTATAGGCTGTGATCATACGCTCCAGATATTATGCCGATCACTGACATTCACTCAGTTTACCTTATTCAACTTTTGCTGGCAGCACTCAGCTCTACCTAAGTATGTTCTTGTGTTTTTCAAGCAACCATGTTTGAGCCAGTGGGTCGATTACAATAACTTCTTACCTTTGCTATTGATAGATTTTTCTTTGGAGAACGAGAAAACAGTGTAACATGTGATCCGATACATGCCCACTCGAGTGGAGTCAGCGATGTCGACATTATTGTGTGGCATTGTGCGAGGGATACTAAACATCTGCATTTACAGTGACCTGTGTGGTGCACGAGTTCGAGTGGCACGAGTAGTCATTGCTACTGAAGTCAGTCACATGCGGAGGATGCGTTGTTCCATGGATACCAGGAAATGGACCGGATTCTGACAATTTTTCTGCCGGCATTATCCGCGTATGCCTAGCCACAAAGTCTAACGTTTTAACGACTAATTGTTTTTCGTTATTTGAAGAAACGGTATCACGAACTCGGTTCGGGATGTCTGTGCAAAGATGCGAATACATCGATGCGATGCATATTATGGGTGGCCAGGTACTAGGTAGCCATCGTTAGACTTTCTGCACGTTATTTATTTATTTATTTCTGCACCTCGCTCGTGGCATGTCAAGACAGCCAATTGAATAGATGACTTGCACAAAGATTGTCTGGGTTCGAGACGGGGCAAGTGGACCTTCTGACTCTGACTTCCCCACCTTTTGAGTTCGTGACTTTCGAAGTTTCGCTTTTTGCCTGACGAACACTGAGCTAGTTTTTTTGGCTAGAGAGTAGAGTTGTTTTGATTCGGCTTGTATCGTCATGCCGAAGCGCTGCTACGCTCCTGAATGCACTAGCAGACGAGAGATGGAACTGAGGCTCCCATTCCATACGTTCCTTTTCGAGCCGGCCGGCCGGGAGGCAGAAAAAATGAGGGAATATTATTAATTTTTTGTATCATTGGTGTAGGCTGCAACAAGCACGTCGTGGTCCTGAAGTGTGACTACTTTCCCGCAGTGGAAGCGAAGTCAAGCACAACGAAAGTTTGTGGACGTCTGAGAAAGAACTCGATTCCCTTCGATTCAGCTGCACTAGCTCCAGAGCGACCCCAGTCTCCTGAGGACAGACTGCGGAGAGGCCAGGAACCTGCCGAGTCAAGAGTGGAAGCCCAAACCACGAAAATGAGGGGTGGAAGGACTGAGTGTGAGAGCCAGATGGCCTTTAGTAGTACTTCAAGTAGTATCTGAGTTGAAGGAGAGAGCAAGTGTGCTGGAGAAACGCTGCGAAGTCCTCAGGCCTGATGTGTACTAGCTACTGTTGAAGTCTCACTTGTTCCGATATGAACACGTCATCAGCCCTGACTCTGAGCAGCTGTATCTAGACTTGGACTTAGGCCAGAGACATAGCATTGTAAACCTTACTGAAGCCATATGTATCCAATGCCTGGCTCTAGTGAGAAAGCAGTTTGGCGCAGGCTCGCAAACTATGATTGAATCAGGGAGTGGTGGAAAGTCACATTATACCTCCCCATGATTAGCTGGTAATGACGACGATGCGGCTCCGGCTGGGTCTCAGTCTCAGAAAGGATTTGTTGGAGCATCATCAAACAGTGCATTCGCCTTCATCATACATTGGCTCCGTTGCCTACAGTAATTCAAATTTTGACAGGGCGCGCTGGGACGATACGGAAGGAGCGGCGGGAACCATTGGAGTGCTCATGATGCTGGTTAGCGGAGACCGATGTGTCAGGAACGGGAACGCAACCGCACTACTGTACAGATCAGGAAGCGATGGAAGAGTTGAATCTGCTCAGCCTTCCATGCCGTGTATGCCGAGGGGGGACACAAGCGTGAAAATGGCTACATTTCAAATGTGAACTGGCGATGGCATTGTGTGGCGACGAACACAACTGCAACTGTTCAAATTTCAGCATTTCGAACATTATGCTTCCCATGATAACTCACCGAATGGCTCACATGACGGAGTTAGACATTACCAGGCTAGGATTATCATTTGCTGTATTTATGGATAGTCCTTGAGTTTTCAGCTGAAGTGCTTTATCTTTTACCTGTCGTTCCTTTAGTATGGCACAATGTCCATGGCTGCTTCCTTGTCTTCATAACAGACTGGTATAATCAGCATGATTCTGCTTTTTTTAGAAGAAATAAAACTTTCCTTTCGGAAAGTAAGCCCAGAAACGTCAACCCCCATGGACTGTGCTTTATGACTCTCGTCCATCGACGTTAACCGTCGCAATAACTGCTGCATGTATGTTGTGCTGTGCGAACCGTACAAGATTTTACAGCTCACCCACGCCTTCCCAACAGGCTCCTATATCCCGTACCGTTAGCGTTACATTGAATATGAACTAGGCTAGCACAGTTATCCTTCGTTCTTTTGATGGCGGCGGGTAGCATGGAACTTGACGTGTTCTTGGGATCCTCGTGCAACACTTGCTGTTCCCGGATGCCATATTATTGGGTGCATCGAGGTTGCTTCTATGCTTACTGTTGTTTAGTAAGACAATTTTTTATAACTATTTCACCGAAGAATAAGGCAAGAGTATTTTGGGTTGGTTTGGACGCCTGGCTTCTCTTCACATAATAATCCAGTCATGTACTTCCACTCAGGGAGTAGTAGAATACCTGCTTCCACTAACCCTACAACTTACAAGTGCACATGCATGACTCATGAGCTGCTGAAGACAGTGACGGTACTGATCATGTACATGTACATGCCGTGCACCGTTCATTCATGCTGACAAAAAAAGTACACTACACTACAAACGGTGTAGGGTGCCCGCAGTGTAGCCTGGGTGCACAGGGTGCACTTGCCCCGTCTCACTCGCGGCTCGGATCTTTGTGCAAGTCATCTATTGAGGAGAGGGTGAGACCAACCACGGAAGAAAAGAAAAAAGAAAATGAAGAGTACGTACACAAAGTGGGAAGGGATTAGCAACTAATAAAATTACTTACAAAGCAATGGGATGCTCAGCGAGCTATGCAGCGGAAGTGGGGACTGTGACTTTGTTTACTGGGAGATACTGAAGTGCTGTCTGACGAGGGTACGGACTTTGGGCATATCTGGAGCTTGTCTAACACTGGGAGGCAGTTGGAGCCACGTGGAGTAGGAGGAAAGGAAAGGGGAATTTACGAATAGGGTAGACCTAGCTAGGGGGAGACGAACGCAGCTTCGGGTGGTGCCACCTGAATTGAACCAATTAAGGCACTGTACATGAGCAGGGTGCTGGTCAAGAAAAATTGAATGTGCCAGGTTGCACTTGGAAGCATCAAGGTAATGTTGCAGAGTGGTAGTGGATGCAGCAGCATACAAGTCTAGATTTGAGACATAACGATCAGTACGAAATATGATGCGCAGTATACGGCGATGGAGAATTTACCTATGTGGGTTTTGTTAATGGTGGACCTGGCAGGGAAGCCGTACGTGAAGAGGGGAAGAATGTATGATTTATAAAAATTAATCCGGCAATTTTGGGGCAAATGGGACAAGTGACTTGACATTATGCCGACAGATCGGCATACTTTGGACGACACATGATCAGCATGGTGAGACCAGGAGAGGGGGGAATCTATGACAATGCCAAGGTGTTTATGATGGGGCGCTACAGAGATAGGGTGACCGGGATCATTGGGAAAAGTGGAAGATGGGCACTGGATCTGTGGGAGGGGGAAAAAGGAGGAGCTCGGGTTTGGTCACATTTGGTTTTTAAGGTACCAAGTGCTCATCCAGTGAACAATGTCGTTGATACAGGTCTGAACTTTTAGTATCCGGGTTGTAAAATAAAGGCCTCTCAGTTTACGGGCAAACAGAATACAATTTTGGGGTACAGGGTGGCGTGAGATGGGGAGGAAGCAAGGACAGTGTGGTATCATCTGCAAACAAAGAAATATTGGGAATTGCATAGGGGAGGTCATTGACGTATGTGAGAAAGAGCAGGGGACCTAAAATGGAGCCCTGGGGCACTCCGGATGTCACAGACTCGGGGTCAGATAAGGTTACATTTACTGTGACGCACTGATTTCGGTCCAAGAGGTAGCTAGTTATCCAGGCGAGTAGGGAGCCGGAGACACCATGGGCACGAAGTTTGGCGATCAGGCCCTTGTGCCACACGGTGTCAAAGGCCTTGGAGAGGTCGAAGAAACAGATGCAGGAGACCTGCCGCTGGCCTTTTAGGGAGCAGAGGTCTTGGATTATGCGGGACAATTGCAGGGATGCGTTGTCCTTACGACGGAAGCCAGATTGTGCGGGGTGAAGAAGAGGGGAGATATGGTCGTACAAGCGCCGGTCGTACACTATTCTCTCTAGCAGTTTGGAGACGCAGGACAGGAGGGAGATTGGTCGGTAATTAGACGGGTTCAACACGGTTCTTGTCGCCTTTATTTTTGTACACTGGAATGACATGGCGTTTACACGACAACTTTTTTTTTTTTAAATGGAGGCGGGAGGCCAAAACCGAGCTGCAGTCTCTACTGCATTTGCCTTCAAGCTTGAAGATGACTGGCCAAGCCAGCACATGTTCTATATAGACAACCTCATGAGCAGCGGAATTGCGGTCTCTGACATCCTGCAGATCGACCTCCACGGCCGTCGTGGATTTTGTTCAGTAACTGTCTCGAGCCTGGCGGTCCGGGATCGTGTGCTTTCCCAAGGCATCTCTGTTGCTGGTAAGCCCGTTCAATTAACTATCAGTGGCGCTGACGTTGTCAGCGTCCATGTATTTGGATGCCCCCATTCCCTGTCGGATAGTGCTGTCGCAACCTCATTCCTGAAATTTGGCTCAGTGATAGGGGTCCCTCAGCGAGGAAAATTCTGGGTTGAGAACTTCGAAATTGAAACCGGCACCAGGTACGTCACCATTCTACCGCGTACAGTCGTACCTTCGTGTGTAGCAGTCGGCCAGCTGAAACTGCGTACATGGCACAAAGGACAGGCTAAAACATGCTGGCACTGCAACAAGCCAAGTCATGAGGCAAGGGACTGCCCCGTACTGAGTACGAAGGGAAAGAAGCGTGGCTGGGAGAAAACTTCCAGTCCGGAAATTGGTCTCAGTGACGACACGCAGCAGCAGCAGCAGCAAGTGGCGTCCGCGGACATTACTGCTGGAACAGCGGACGCACATGGCATTACTGGTGCGGCAACTCCCCACAGCGATGCACGTCATGCATCCGCCCAAGGGCAGCAGGCCGATCCCCAG